AAAGTAGAGACACTACATACTGATATACACCTGAACATCAGCAGGAGAGGACTCTTTAAAGTAGAGACACTACATACTGATATACACCTGAACATCAGCAGGAGAGGACTCTTTAAAGTAGAGACACTACATACTGATATATGCTCAGGCTTCGTCACATCTTGAAGTCGTTAGCTGAGTGTGTGTGTGTGTGTGTGTGTGTGTGTGTGTGTGTGTGTGTGTGTGTGTGTGTGTGTGTGTGTGTGTGTGTGTGTGTGTGTGTGTGTGTGTGTGTGGCAAGAAGATCGAGTTCAGGATTTTAATTAAATGATTGTTTCCAAACATCCAGTGTCGATCCCCTTATTCAGGGTTATTTGTTTTGTTTCGCTGAGTCTGAGGATATTACTATTAAAATACATCCAATCTAAGATGTTAAAAAACCTTTAACTCCTTCCTCCATCTTGACAAAAAAGCCCTGTACATTTTTTATTTCCCAACAAAAATGCTAATTATGTTATATTAAGTAACCCGGTAATGGTGCTATGAATATAAAATTAGCAGATGAACAACAAGGATGTAGCATTTGATTTTCCCAAAGTAGACCATTTAATCCCCCCCCCCACATTATGACATTTAACATTTATTGCAAAAATATAAAACGTGAAATAATTTCTCAGGCTGCAGCTCAGTGAGACAATAGCAGCTCGATTCTCAGCTCGTCTTCATCAGAAAAAGTGAGAGAAGCACTCTGAAAATAACTTTAAAAACAAGTTTCTCTGCAAAAGTTGGATGTTTCATATTCTCAATTTAATTCAATGATACCTGAGTCTTAAATAATCATATTTAAAAATACTTAGTTAGCATAGTTAGCTTGTGAAATGTTTGCCATAAATCTCCTATTCACAGTGTGTTGTTAACATGCTAACAAATTAGAATGGATAATTAGTATGCTGGTTAACAATTAAGAGGCTAGCAAAGAGCATTTTAACATGTTAATATTACTGCGCTAGCTCCGTTAGCTTTCACATTGTAGATACCTACACAGTTAGCTACAAAAGCTAATCTAGGAGGCTACTTAAGAAGTGAAGTTCGAATACATTTCGATGTAAGATTGAAGTTTTATTTAGTAATCAGTTTGAACCAATAGTTTTTCTTCTGTTTTATTAATTTATCAGGTTTCACAAAGCCTTACTATGTAGATGGCAAAGTTAGCATTAGATAAATAGCTTATTATTCATTAGCTGTTGACATATAGCCTTTTAGCATTCTAAGGTTAGCGTTTGTGTGACAAAGCTAACTTTTTTCAAAAACAATGAAAGTGAGTTAAGATGAACCACAATCAGAATAACCATAATTAGGTTAAAAGTCTTAGGTTGAATTGTTTTGTCTTTAATATATTGAAATGTTATGTTAGTATGCTAAAGTTAGCATGTGGCAAGGCCAGGTTTTCTGCATTTTTAATGCTGAATTACTTTTTCCAAGAAACTTTCTTAGCACATCTCTGGTAATCAAAATATTTAAGTTTTTCTGTTGCATTATTTTATCAAGAGACAGATCTGTAAAACTGAAAATGCTTTAGTGGAGGACAGCCCTCGAGTTTTCTGATAGTTGCCGTAACTGTTAGCATGCTAACTGTAAATTAATATTCTGCTTTGCAACATAACTATTGAAAGTCTAAAATGTCCTTAAAAGGCCACCGTACAAAAAACGTAACCTCCGCTAACGCTACGAGATTACTAATAAGATTTTCATCCATCTGATAAAATGTAGCTTTCTGCTGCGTAATGAGCGTTACAAATTAAGAGTACGTTTACTTTTGCAGAAGAACAAACCAAAAGTTATTATCAGTGAAATTCCCATTTTTAAAACAGTATCCCAACAATGAAAACATTACAGTCATAAAATAATTAAGACACATTTCTCCTGATTTAACGTCACATAGAAACTTTCCGCACAGCTTTAAGAGATCTAGAAATATGCTATTTGATCTGAAAAAGTGTAAAAAGTCTCTTAGCTACAGCTCGTCTTGCAGCGCAGACGTTTTATTAAAATCTTCCAGCTTTAGGCTCTCAGTGTGTTTGTTATGGCTTGTAGAAAAAAAAACCTGCTGTAAAATGTGTTAAAATAAAGCTCTCTGGACCTGAATGATTGTCACAGTGTCGTTTCTCAGTCTTTGTCTCCTCGTAGGAAATGTTTTTCACGGTCCTCTTCCATATCGTCCAGGTCGACATAATGAAGTGTTTTGGGGTAATGAAGGCCTCGCTCGCCAAATAACTGAAATACTGGTTTCACCTCTGATCTTTAACTCCTTCCACCGTCTTGACAAAAAAGCCCTCTCCAATTTTATTTCCCCACAAAAATGCTACTTATAGGTAATATGAATTAACCCGGTGAGAGCGGTGCAGTGATGACGTATTTTTGTAGGCCGACTCTGAAGGAAGCAGCTGGTTCCCTCGACAAAAAGCAACAGGATTTCTCTATAGGCTTTTTGGAATATTGTAAAAAATACAATAACTGCACGTTTTGTTCAGCCGGATAATCTCCACATGTCTACAATACTTTTATAATGTTCGAATCATAAATCTAATCTCCAGAAGCAAAATGCTAACGTTATGCTATAAAGCAACTACAGCAGGGTCGCTGCTTCAACGTCACGCCAACTTCAGATCCATATTCAAACACACAGATTCTAAATGGTACGAGTTGAAGCGTTTGTTTGAACAGTCTGCAGGAGGCAGCTACTTGCTTTAAAGCAGAACAGGGCAGACTAATTTATACCTCATTCACACCAACGGTGTTTCAGGGCCGGTTCGGAGCTGGAGCTTGAAAAGCACCGGGTTTTCCTGTTCACACCGCAGCAGAGCAGCCTCTTAGCTCCGGAATCCGGTTCATTTCGAGCACCAAAAAATTGTCCGGCCAGAGCAAAAGCACCACATACGCCACGCTTACGTCGAGGCGGGGGCAGGGGCGGGATCAACTCCTGAACAACAACAAAAAGCCTGCGTTTTATCCAGTTTGTACACAACGATGAAGAAACTTAACAAGCAGCAGTGGTCCACTGAAGAGACCAGCTACCTACTGGGAATCTGGTCTTCTGAAGAGGTACAGAGGAAGCTGGAGCACAATCGGCCATTGTTGTTGTTGTCGNATTTTCCGGGAGTAAATACTTGACTTATTGAATAAAGTTTGCTATATTCACTAACTAGTTTGGCAATATTATTCCGTGCATGTGTTAAAAACCTTATTTCCATTTGATTCATTGGATTACTCGCGTGAATGTTTAGCACGTAAATGCTTTCGTTTTTAAAACCGTCCGACCTCGACTACAAAACCATCAACCAGTTGCATAGGATTAAAAAATGTCAACACTCACTCACCCCGTCTTAAACATTCCCAAAGAAGTGCTTCTGTCTCTCGTTGTGCTGGATGAAGTCACTGGCGACGAGTAAACCCAAAATAGTCCCAAACAGGCGCAGAGGCATTTTTCTTTTTTACTAGTTCTCCGAGTTCGGGGCCGGCAAATGCTGCCGCCATCTTGCTCA